AAATAGAACCACACTGCATGTGAAGGCTCGGGTGGAACACTTGGGCTTTCTGGGCAGTGATTCGGTGGTGATTCAGCCCATCAGCTGCAAGAAGGGCTGTACTGGAGTGTGCAGCCCTCTTTGCTTCCTTCCTTGTTGGTGGTAGACCGATCAGCCCCACCTTGCCAGGATCAGACTGGCTCTTGGAGCACTCAGGTGGCTTCAATTTACAAGGTGCTCCTTGCCGCCTCTTACTGTTCGTGCATTTCCCACCACACCCCTCTCCTGCTGCAGTTTGGAGGGACTGGGAGCTTCCGCTTATACTTTTGGTCAACTCCTTTCTCATTTTGTCTGAAATGAAACTGTGGCTAACATTAAGGTTACTTTGAAACAAGCCAGCTTCAGAACTGCCAGCAAGGTGGATCGACTGTCCCTTGAAATCCCAGTATTAATTTTCAACGTACACAAATATTTAAAATGTGGATTTGCTGTGATTTTTATGGTATTCTTTGCAGGTGCTTAGCTGTCTAAATAGCTTAGTCATGCCAATATGCACAAATATAGTTTGTATTTACAGTCTTTTTTTATAGTTCCATTCTGTCCATAGGCTAATTTTGCCTTAGTAACCATAATTTAAGCCCTCTGAGCATTTCGAGAAGGCTGAGTTTTGTATGTAATAAGAAAGCAAGGAGACCTTTGCTGGTTCAGGCCAGTGTCCCATGCAGTCCAGTATTCTGTTTTTATAGAATCTGCTTTCTGTTATTCATTCACCACATTGAAAGTGCTTCTTTTGGTTAACTCTAGTCAGGCCATGGGTCAGTATGGTGCCACCAAGAAAAAGACTTGTAGTGACAGGTTTGGTAAGGGAGAAAATGTTTAGGTATCCTGGTCCCAAGTGTTTTAGGGGCAGTAGTATTAAAATTTTAAACCTGGCCCAGCAGTGAATAGGCAGTGCAGTTCCTTCAGCCAAGGCAGCTGCCAGCAACACCTGAGCTGCCGCATTCCGCACTAGCCCCAGCTTTAGGGCGGAGGTGGTGAACGTATGGCACGGGTGCTGCAGCGGGCACGCAGAGCCCTCTCTGTCGGCACGTGAGCCAAGTCGCCCCAGCATTGCCCCAGCAGCCAAGCATCAGATAACATAGGGGCCATGCGCATGCGCAGAAAGGAGTAGCGCTGCCAGGCGATGACGTCACGAGCCACAACTCATTAGCCGCGACTCATCCAAGCTTTCACATGGCTGGTCAGTGCGCTGCCAAGGATATATATATATATATATATATATATATATATATATATTTGCTTGGACTGGCTGCGAGTTGTTTTTTCTAAACTAAAACCTCAGTTTTCAGGTTTTATTGCGGTGTTGGCACTTTGCGCTAAATAAGTGACCCTATGATGCCAGTGCTTTGTGATCTCCACAGGCTTCCAGCGTATTCAGAGTGCTGGTATTACCCCTTAAAGCCCTAAAGGCTCCTCTGAGTATCACCTTCTTTGTATGTGTGTGGTCTTTTTTTGGCACTGAGTGAAAATCTTTTTATTCTTAAACACCTTTTTAGTTCTTCAGTATTTTTTCTTTAAATTTTACTGTGGATTTAGATCTTCCCACTACTGCTGGCTTTTATCCTGGCTTTTAATCTACTTTAAACTGTTGAGGGTGTTTCTTATATTTTTAAAAGCGTGTGTGAAATTTGTGGACTGCCCAGGGAACTTTAGTTATTGGGTAATATAGAAATATAATAAACAAAATAAATTTAAAATTCACAAACCTTTAATTTAAAAAATGTAAAAGAAGCACCAGAAGATGCTGAGAAACACATGTGCTGTAATACATATGGAATAATCAAAATTAAACAGTATAAGCATTGTTACAGTGTATCGCTTATTCCAAGAGGCAAACAAGAGACCTTTTTTTCCAGAACAGTTGCTGGCTACTTGTAGTGCTTTGCTTACTGCACTATAAACACTAGTTCAAGCAAAAAAGAAAAAAGAATATAAAAATGCCATCTCTTTTTAAAGAAGGAGTGGAGAAAAGCCAAAGACAGCAAGTTCCATTTCGTCACTTCCAATGCTAACTCAACATCAATTTTCATAACTCAACATCAATTTTCAATCTCAGTTCAAGAAGTTCAGCACAGGTGAACAGGAGTTTTCCGAGTGCACAACAGAACCCTGTCTCGCCGCCGCTTCCTCCTCTTCAGACTGTGTAAATTGGCACCCAGTGCGCCAATCTGTGAAGGCGGCAGACCTGAGCGCACTTCCCACATTCCTTTCCAGATACTTGCCCTCTGGTCATTGAATGGTTAATCCCGAGTTTTATCTGTAGCAGCTACAGAAGGAAGGGGAGAAGAGGGCTCTGTTATGGTGCCCTCTAGGATTAGCTTCTTGTAGTGGTGCTCTTCTGCAGTAGGCCATGGTCAAGATCAGTGTGTTTATGTGAGAAGCATGATTCCTGGACATGCAATTTAATTATCACCACAGCCAATGGCTTTATGGACAGTCCAAGTTTTCTAGTTCATAGTCTTCCCAGCATCTGTTCATGAGAGTATAAGCTGATCGTGAGAGTATAATGTTATCCATTCTATTTTGTAAATTATTTCAAACGTAAATGATTTGCTGCTTCTTTTCAAATCCAAGTGAAGGACTCAAGGGGTCCAATCTTGGAGCCCTCCACTCAGTTAAGCACAAGGATGAGAGGGCAAAAGTACACATTTTATTCTCAAGAGTAGTTTGATCACAGGAAAAGGGCAATCACCCCAGAATACATGGTGCAGTCCCCTACTATACCCTTATTGACCAGGCAGTGATGACAGAAGTCCATTGGTTCAAAATTCCTGCCATGAGTGTATTTGACTGGTACATTTGGATTCAGGTAGTTCCTGCATTCCTGTGGACTGGGACTTGGGGCTCGGGTGAAGGATTGCACAACCTCTGACCTCACGTGGCCTGGCTCTGGTTACACAGATACCGCTGGGTACGTGACTAGCCCACTCGAGTCCAGTGCCAGCCAGCGAGGTATGTCCTACACAAGAACACTGTAAAACTCCATGAAGAATTAAGCTCATATGATTTTAATATTGGAGTCCATTGTAGCAAGTCCAGTTTGTATTATGAGATGAGGGATTAGGATTGTGTGGAGAAAAGTGGAATGCTTTTTGGAAGGGGAGACATTCATCATCATCATGAAATTGGGAGCATCGATTATGCTCTCTGGAAATGATACTCTACAAGTCTGGCTACCGTGCCAGTGAGGAGGGATTTGCTATCTTGCTCTAATTTATTTGAATTATTTGGCAAGGTTTTACCTACTGCCTTTTAATTCTGAAAAGTCCTCTATGGCATTTTGGGCACTGTTGCTAAAACAGGACATTAGCAATGTGGGGTTGCATACCCTTTCAAGAATCTTGGCAGCACGAAGATAAAAATTCTTTTATTAAAAATGAATTTCATATTTTTTATGTGACTAAGGCTATTGACCCATGTTTATTCACATTAAAAAAAAACACTTCCACTTAAGTTAAAAAATATACAGGTCACAGGACACTTTTTAAAATGTTTTAATCTGGCAGTAAAGGAGGGAAACTAAATGATCCACAGTTTCTTAAAAATAGTTGTAGAAAAATACTGAAGAACTCCACTTCCACAATCTTGTGTAATTGTGATGTGCAATAATTCCATACGTACTTTCTTGCCCCAGAGAGCTGTTTAGGACTGCTTTATCCAACCTGATGCCCTCCTGGATTTCTGCTTCCCTCAAGCCCAGCCAACGTGGCCAGTGGTCAGGAATACTGGGTGCGGTGTTCAAAAACATCTGGAGAGCACTAGATTGGGGTAGGCGAGCAGTGCAGAAAAGAATTATGCCTTTGAGCAAGCAGCCTGGTACACACTGGAATTTATTCTTGATAAGAGTGATCCCTGATGCAGCATAGTAAGCACTGTTATCTGCCTAGAGATGTGCCCACAAAACGGTGCATCTATAAAGTGTGTGTCAGATAACAGTTAACATTATTTTTAAAAAGTGTGCCTTGTCGGTAGAGCCATATAGTCAGGCTCTTTAACAAGCTGAATATTTTAAGTTGTGGGTGTTGTTCTTGACCTTTGATACACGTAGGAAGCCCCTTGTAAACGTCTGGTGTGATTTGACTGCACTTTGCCCGTATTTGAACAATATTCCAAAAGCTGTTAAATTGTAACATAATATGCTCTGCTTACATAGACCTGCCCATCTGAAGAGGGAAAAGGTGAGGAATGTGTTTTCAGTGGCCATTGAGTGCAGGGCGACCACAGTGCTCGTTATCTGTAGGTGATGTTTCCCAAGGGCGTGCATTCTGGCAATAGCACTGCTTCCTTGGGAGCCAAGTGATCTTTGGTTTTGTGGGAAAGCGACTTCACGGGGAGGGGAGTGATACTCATCAAACAAATGGCAGACATGGATGATTTCAGCAGCCTCTCCCCCTGCCACTTCTCCTATTCTCTTTTACAACATTATGAGTAAAAAGTCAAGAAGGAGGCATTGCACAATTGAGCAGCAAATGCAATTTGTGCCTCTGTGAATGATTATTGACGTAACGATGCAGTGTGGAAGTGGTTAGCATATAGCTCACATAATTTCAATTGGGGGCTCAGTGGGAAGACTAACTTTGGTGATATAAAGAACCATATGTTCATCACGATTTATAAGAAAATATTAAATAGATTTAGTGCTTAAACATTTGAAAGCTACACTTTATGAAAGAGAAGCAGAAATGAACTGTCATTATTCCAGTACTTCTCTTGTAGCGTTGTGAAAAGTAGCTTGTATATGAAAGTATTGGCGCAATAAAGTTTATTTTGAAATTCCGTTTTATGGAGTCACAATCTGCTGGAAATGTTTGAACTAAATACATGTCTTCTTGCAACTTTGGGTCCATAGATCATCCCTGTGTTATGTTTTGTGCCCTACTGGCGTCTAATCTTGTAGTTTGTAAGGATTTGATTCTTGTCTTGAGATGGCACTAACTTGACCTATATCTGTCTCTTTCTAGATGTTACCTACTTGGAAAAACTTGACGACATGCTTCAGATGCACCTCAGCCTAAGAGTATGCCATTAGGATATTCTGGTCTTTCTTCTTGGATCATGGGGGAAAAGGAAGATGAGAAATATAGCCAAGCTAGCCAAATATTTGAAAACTTTGTCCAAGCCTCAACATGCAAAGGTACAATTCAGGCCTTCAATATTCTCACTCGTCAACTTGAACTTGATCCACTGGACAACAGGAACTTTTATGCAAAACTTAAATCAAAGGTGACCAGTTGGAAGGCCAAAGCTTTGTGGAACAAGCTAGATAAAAGAGCAAGCCATAAAGAATATAAGCGTGGAAAATGTTGTGTGAACACGAAGGTAAGGCTCAGTTTCTGAAGCTTTACTTTGAAGTTTAGATCTTTGATTCTTTTCCCTGCTAAAGTAACATGCCACCGAGACTAAAAATGTGAATGGTTTCCTGACAATTATAATTGGGGAGCATGCAACCATCACTGTATCAGTTTCTGTTGTGTTACCCTCACATTCCTTTGTGGTTTTGTAACTTTTCTTGGTACATCTCCCTTGGTAGATAGCTAATCAGAAGTTCTCTCTAATGCTAACCACTCATACACATTAGCTGAGTTCAGATGACATAACAACCAATCCATGATAAGAATCCATGGTTGCTTGTCTTGTTGTCTGAACCCAGTCATGGTGATCAACCAATGTGACTTACTGTGGGTGTCAGACGCAATAAGACACAAGGGTCTGTGCTAAGCTTTCTCCCTGCCACAGTTGCTTGTTGTGTTGTCTGAACTTGGACAGCACATTCCATCATGGCAGAAAGTCCAGAAACAAGAGAACAGCTTGGCAAGAGGGGCAGTTGCCACATTTATTAAGCATCTGGCCAGAGAGTGCAGCTGATAGCTGGCCAAATTTGGCACAACCATCAGAGACATCATGGTTTCTCCTGCCCCAGAGATGTTTGGGGCAGGAGATGGAACTGCATCTCCCAGATGATCGCCTCATACAGCCTTTCATGCTTGGGTGGAGAGGGGAGGGAAAGGGAGGTACTGTCTCAGGAAGAAGGTGGCAATACCGCCCCCTCCCCCACACACACACACTCTTTGCGTCTGCTTGGGAGAAAGATCCACTGCACAGCATTTGCCAGAGCAGCTTCTCCCAGTGGCGAGCACAACCCTGTCCCCTGCTGCCCCCTTCTGCTTTGGTAAAAGGTGTCCTTGACTGTGTCTGGCTCCCAAACCCATCACCTGCTAGAACAGCTTCTCCCAAGCAAGGAGCTAGGGAGATGGACTTGCCCCCTTCCTCACTTCTGCTGGAGAAAAACGTGCTCAAGCAAGAGCAAAGACAGGAGAAACTGGGCTAGGCAGGGATTTTAACATTCACCGTACATCCGCGCCTAGCCCAGGTTACCCTGCTTTGTTCCTGCTTGGGGCTTTCACTCAGGAAGAAGCAGGGAAATCAGCTGATTGGTACCGCACCTTCCTGCAGCACCCAACAGCTGATTGCCCACCTCGCTCCCAAGACTGGACCAAGCACCCAACCCTGCCCTTTCTGCTGCAGTTCAGGGTATGAGCCATGTTTGCATAGCAGAAATTGATAGCCATGGTGAGCCAAACTTGAGAGCAGCCTCATTGCGCTTTGCTGAGATACCTTCTGGAGGAATGAGAGTAAAGGAGGCAGGGGGAAGGCAAGAAGCAGCCACAATGATCCTGAGCATCTCTTGGGCTTATCAGGGTTGCTCAGCACTTCACAGCAACCCAACAAGGTGGTGTACCATGATGGGTTGTCATGATGTTTGAGCCTACCCATTGTCTGTCATAATATAGGGATTACAAGACCCTTCCATCATTGGGTTATGCTGCATGTATTTCAGAATATTTCCAGTTTCAGTACTGAAGCAAAATGCAGTCATATGAGTGTAACAAATTGAATTGTTAATTTTACTGCGTTAACATCTCGTCTGCCCATCTGTCTATTGTGGCCTCAGTGATGTATTTTTTGGAAGAGGTTTATTGGCACATTTGACTTGGTATCCTTTAATTTCAAAGCCAGGAAAGGAAAGAGTGTGGGAAACACTGCTGATTGATAGGAAGCCTTACTGGATTGCAGTTTCCACTGTTAGGCTGAACAGGAAGTTACTGCTAAATGATCACCGCTTGCAGGGAAGGGAAACATCTTGTCCGGAGGCTGAATCTGTCCTGGGTGGGTTAACGGCCTGTGAACCCGACTTTACCTGCCAGGATATTGTTGTTGATGTGAACAGGTTAATACAACATATGCAAAGTAATTGCATGGAATATGTTTTCAGGCTTAGAACACTTGGATGACTGTTTAGTCCACATGTTTTCTTCATTAGGGACATTTTATGTGTAATTTGCTACCTGCTCTCTAAGCAGTGTGTGTGGGATTTATCATAAAGAATGGCTCCTTCTGATATGAATAAAAATGGAAACGGGGGACAGGACGGGGCATGAATAAATCGTACAATGAATAATTAAAGTTCAGTATTGGCTAATGTATTAGACTAATCCACCACTCCAGGTATCCCATAAAGAACAGGAGTTGCTTTTACTAGCCTATCAGAATAAGCAGACTGCATATATGGAAATGCTTAATCTGGGGAATGCAAATGAAAACAGACCCTGGACTGCAAACTTACTGCGGCTATCAAGCAACATTCCTTACTTATGATTCATCGTCGGCTGTGAAAATATATCTGTGGCACATGAGTGATAGGAAGTACATCCAGACAAAAACAGCTCACCAGTGATTTACTTTGACGTAATGCTGGTATTGGGCAGCTAAATGTGCCAGCTTGTCAAGTCGCACCTTTAAGTGGATCCTGCATGGTAAAACAGCAAGCCTGCCGTGTGTCCCTGCAGGAGGGCTGATGGGCTTCCATAAAGGGGAATGTGTGAGAGAGAACTTGTATGTTGCACAAGCCTTATGCTCACTTTAGGTGCAGGAGTTCAGGCAATTAAAGTGAAGAAGTTATGCTTCAGTGCTGGGGAATTAAACTCAAATTCTAGCTTAAGTGTCAAGTTTACAATGCGTTCTCAGGTAAATCTCAGCCTAAATTGCCTCGTAACTGGATTTACTTTTCTTGCATTTGATTCATTATGATACTAAGCAAAATATATTGGGAACAAACAAATATATGTTCTGAATTTAAAAACCAGGACAAGAGGCATTTTTACATTAAAATTACATCTCAAATTAATATAAACTTTCAGTTGAGAATAGTTGTTCAATGTAAGATCCAAGAGATTGTGAAGTTAAAGCATTCCTTGAAGAAAGATTTGCACAAAGACATCTATTTTCAGAAACTGGACATTTCTGCACTTGCAATATTTATTGTGTTTTCGTTAAGATATATGATGCAGACTCACTATGGAATACTAAAATATCCCAAATTAGCTTAACTTGCGTATGTCTTTCTTTATGCCTAAAGATTAGGGTGCATAGCATATTTTCATAAGAAATTGACACAACACAGATAAAAATATCCAACTCTGTCCATGTGTTTGAGGAAGAGGAGAATCATGTTGATAGTACATAAAGCAGTCGTTATTTAGTGTTTACAAATTTCTGGAAAGTTAACCACTCAAAACTATACAAAACATTATGAATAATGTAAAATTGAGGATACAAATGCTAAGACAATAGCCAATGGAAACATAGCCCTAGGTGACCTTTTATCAGACCAACACACAGTAGCAATTAAAGAGTACAAAATGCATGTTCAAAGGATGACTCAACCAATCAGGGTAATTCTGGTCCATCTCAGTTTTCCATGTCTTCATTCAGAAGCATGTTCTGTTCAACTTGCACATTAAACTGAAATTTTAAAAAACTTGTCTAAATGTTTTTGAATATATTTTCCTACAAGATACACATTTATAAGCATACATTAATTCAGAGTACTTAATTCTAAACATGTTTCTTCCTAAAATATGCATTTCAGTATTGCAGGAATTGAGTCAACAAGTGCAATGCAACATTCAGAGAAGGATGAAATCTAAAGGATTTTGATCCAAATAGTAGCGAGGCTTAATTCAGGTCAGTTTGCATCAGAATTCTCAAAGACTAAAGAAATTCTCAAAGAATTCCTAAAGCATTCCTAATTCAAAGGCAATTTTTAACTGGCCTCTTCCAGTTAATACAAAGGATAAAGTAGAAATGAGAGACTGGCTGGAATGATCACTTGTATTACCAATTTAAGCTTTTCATTCTCAGTACAACTAACTGAAGCAAGAATTGTTTTAAACCTCACATGTTAACATCTCCCTTCAGTTGGTGATTTCCAGTCAAAGTGTAATGCCTTGAATAGTCTCTTCAAGCACTGCCAAACGTTCAGGAGATGTTCTTGACTAGAGAAATTTTTCTTGCCCTTGTGGTTTAAACATGGTATACGTCTGACATTGTCAAGCAAGGTGTTATTCTAATTGGGTGATTAGCAATCAAATTTCAGCTTTCAAAATGTAATCCTGTGCACCCTGCCCTTTGAATACACGAGGTAACACATGTACTGTAAGTGTTCCCTCCTCATCCAGGACGTTTGGTGCTGCCTTGTGACAGGGATGGGCAACTTGTGGACTCCCTCATGACTTGGTCTACAACTTGGTCTCATGCCACTGGCAAAGGTTGATGGGAGTCACAGGCCAAAACATCCGGAGCATTACAAGTTGCTAGCCCTTGTCTTAGAAGAAAAGTAACCTGTAGTGCACGTGTCCTCAGACTATGGCCCGCGGGATGGATCTGGCCTGCCATGCCCATTTATCCGGCCCACGCCGCCACCTGTGCGCACGCCGCTGCTTTGCGGCACGGGCGGGAAGTGGTGGCTTGCTCACTCTGAGATGGTTTTAGACTCGTTGGGAGATCTCCGAACAATCGAGCCGCCGCCGTGCACACCCGCCGCCACCTCACACATTCCTGACGATGGCTCACCAGCCCACCTGCCCAGGCCCACCCTCCTCACCGGCCCATGCCGGTCGCTGACGCCTTTGAACTGGCCCCCCATTGAAAACGTTTGAGGACCCCTGCCGTAGTGCTACTGCGGACATTTTTCTAAGGCTGACAGCAGCAAAGGGGATAGTTTTCTCAGATCACAGCTGGGTTGGGAAGAAGTAAACCTCCGCTTCCCACATGTTGCATTTTTTGATGAAAATTGTGTAAGAGGCACACCTAGTTATCAATCTTCTTAAAAATCCAGAGGTAGTTGCTAACAATCAGTTAGAGTAAGGTTTAGTTTAACTCTGAGTGTATTTATAATCATAGGTAAGAAAGTAGAATGCTGTTTAATTGCTAGTGTTTTGAAAGCTTTAGAGTTGGCAACCTTGAGTCTGTCTAATTTA